TTGTTCCTACCAGTAAGGCACTTGTTACTAGTAGCGTGGCACTTGTTACTACTAACAAAGGGCATCGCTACTAGTGACCGAAACGACGCACATGCCGAGATACAGTGGCTCCATGGGCATTTGACGCGTCGATCCATCCAACTCCTGCAACAAACAATCCAACTCCTTCACAAATGGAGAAAAACAAATGTTCCTAAAAGTCTTCAAAACGGGTCTTTCGAGTTTCTTGTTCCTTTTGCAGTAAGGTTGTCAAACTGAGCTAGCCAAGAAGCCATCACAGAAAAGCCATATGGTCCCAAAAGCATTGGCACTCCTCATCTTCTTCTTTGGCAATCCTATCTTTAGCTTTCCTGGCACGTGCATCAACTTGTCTACGGCACGACTTTCAGCGCAAGCCAGGGGATTGGGCAAAGGGGAGAAGCAAGAGCCCCCACTGTCCGAAACTGTAAGTCAATCTCATTGTAGTTTGAGCTTTTGTTTCGTGCAAGGGGGGCTTTTCTCGCCACCATCAGTGTCAACTGACGGATCATCCTGGTATCTTCTCTGGGAATCTTATTGTTCCATTGCCGGAACTACAGGACAGGACAGCAGCAACCCTAACAAATCTCATGTTGTGATACAGGTACACATTCACAAGTTCCCTGATTTTTGCAAATGGAGGGCAAGTAAAATGACGTTTGGGGACCGATCAGCACCTTGCCTTCACTCGAGCAAAAGCGCCAAATGAATTTTTTTGTTACAGGAGAAAACCAACAAAAACCTGAAACAATTTGTGGTTCATGCAAAATGCAGTCCACGAAATGGACAAAAGTGTTCCGCTTTTGGATCCAAGCGTCTTGCGCTGGCGAATCTCCCCTTGGGGACACATATGACAATGCCGGCACTCTTCACCATTTTGACCTCAGGGAGCCAAGTTCACACCAGAAACGCCACGCTGTTAGGGTGGAGGACATCGCTAGTAGGGTGTGAGGCCATCGCTATTAGGTTGGAGGCCGTTGCTTTTAGGTTTGTTCCAGTTACAGTTCGCACGAGGCACTTCTTTGTCAAAATGCGTTCACAAGTTTCATGGGCTGTTTAAGCTAGTGGGCTCTAAGCTATCCCCCAGCCGAGCTGCAACCTTTTGGCTTCCAGAACCATGCGCAAGGCTTACCTTGGCAAACTTGCTCAATCAAGTACAGGGTCGCTCCGCATTCCAACAACACACAACATGAAAACCTGTTGAGTATACTTCCGGACTTCCGGATGTGCAGCTAGTGGACCAACTATGTGCCGTGGCGCAAAATGAGCATGGTCTTCGGCAAAATGCTAATAGCGCCGTGCACATGTTCAAAGATCTGCCTTGATATTCTACATTTTGGAAAATAGCGTTTCTTTTCGGAAGGTAAGTGCAGTCGTTCTTTCCATCTTCTCGTTCAGCAAGTCTTCTTTTCGATTTTGCAAAGCTCATTCAACAATTCTCTTGGCGAACGTTAACATCCCCACCCATCCCACCCCACCCCACTCAAAGTCAGTCGCACAGTGTAGCGTTGTGTAGAAGAGTTTCTAGTGTATAAGTGTGCACTTAGACAGCATGCAAGAAAAGACTGTGAAGAGAGAAAAAACTTTTCATACTTCACTACATGCGATAAAAAAGCATGAAAATCGCAAGAAAACCACATGGCATGGCAGGGGTCGTGGTCTAACTACTTGATCATTCCCAAATGAGCGAACTGTATAAGTGTCTCCTTCCTTCTAGAGACTCGTTTTGCCACGCGTTGCAACTTTGGAGGGAAATGATACTCCCCAATGCGCTCTAAAGCATTCAAACTCTAAGAAAAATTGTCACGCGCCTCACGTGCCAATGAAAACATGTTTACTGCTTTCCGTGGAATCACCACAGCATCGATTGCTGAACTCAGTACGCTCCCCTGATCCACAGCCTACCTACGCCCAGCCATGAAGAAAGCTCCATTCCCGTTGCTTCATGCCACATTCGCCGGTCCCATGCAAGGTAGCTCCCACGGACATGCAGGGTTGCCGATCTGGCATCGCCTGAAGATTTCAATGAAAAATCTCCAAAAAACAAATACTAGCGATGGCCTCCAACCTACTAGCGATGGCCTCCAACCTAACAGCAATGGCGGCATAGAAATGCAAAAACTTTTGTGAAACTCTGCTGCTCTTGAAACTCCGTTATTGTTCCATCCAGCTTGGCCTCTGTCTCTGCCTCATCCTGGGGTGAGAGGGCCCTGTGCAAATCATCTGGCTTACCTTCTTCTGTCTGTTTACCCCTCGTGCGAGAAGCAAGTGCTCCCCTTTACAGGGCCCAGGATGGAACCTGCACAAACATGAACCTGCAATGCACTTCATTCTAATTAAATTCTCTTTATATATTGTTTCTACTAAGCTAGCTTCTTGTTCCTAGTAGTAAGGCCCTTGTTACTAGTAGCGAGGCCAGGAGCCCCTAGTAGCGTCCTTTGCCCCTGAACATCTATATATTATATCAGCATGTGGAAAATCCTTAATTGAAGAAACTCAGGCATCATCCATAGCACTCTGAAGAGACTTGGGTGATGCAAGCTGCAGGTTGACCTGTATGGTCAGTTCGTCCGGTGTGAATTTTGTCAAAACATAATTGTGTAAATTAGACCCTATGAAACCAATGTGACAGGTCCTTAGCTTTTGATGGCGACATGCTGGATGTCGATGAAGGAGTAGCTCCACCTGGGAATGGTTCACACAGCCAGAAAGCCTTTCATAATGTTGGGTTAGGAAACGATAATGACCTGTGTTGCGAAGTGGAGTGCCCCTCTTGTCTTCCAAATGTTCTTACGAATTTCCAACATGTTATCTCCAAAATCAGTCAAGCGAATTGGTGCTGCGATCTCTTGTGTTTCGTTGAATGGCGAAGCCCAACTTGAGGTCTTAAGCGAGTGTTTGAAAACACATATGTAGGATAGAAAGTCATCAACAAGCAAAGAGTTCTGTCTTGGAATTGAAGGTTTTGCAGTTTGTGCCCCAGCCTCGCATAGCAGCCAACTTCGCTTTTTTCCTCAGGCTAAGGCTTTGTAAAAATAGAGAGAATCAGCATCAGCATCGCTTTTTTCCTTTCAGTCTCCCCATCCTTTTTTCGTTCCTCACCATTCGCTCTGCACACGTTAAAAAGGATCAAGGTTCCGAAGCTTCACTTCGCCCTCTGGGCAAAGATGACAATATCCACCTCGCAAAACGAGAGTGGCACTAGGGTTGAACATGCAGAGACATGTGTTTAAAGCAGAGACATTTGCAACTATGTGTTTTGCAACACATTGTGCATGAAATAGTCTCCATGAAAATATTTTGCAATACACTTCAGACATCGCATAGACAACTGCGTTGAAAGACAGGTGAACAGTCAGGCGATGCTGAGAACTGAACCCTGTGCCTGTGTGTGAGTGCACACGTTGAGGCTAACGGAGCACAAGCCAGGGTTAACGGCGTCACCACTACTAGCGATGGCCTCTACCCTACCAGCGATGGCCTCCAACCTAATAGCGACGGCCTCTACCCTGGTAGCGCTAACGGCGTCACCATTACCATGAAAGACACTCCTTTAATCTTGTGATATCGGAGTTGGCCATTCCAACTTCAACTTACCTGCTACGTGGCTATGATGTTTTGTAATCACCGCCCAATCTAAGATCTTCAGGCTTAGGCCACAGGTTGGCAATCAAGCGCGCGACCGATGAGTTCCAGAGAATCTTGAAGTTCTAATTACAAATTATTGTTTCTACTAGCTTCTTGTTACTAGTAGTAAGGCCCTTGCTCCTAGTAGCGATGCCAGGAGCCCCTAGCAGCGTCCTTCTGCTGCCTTTTTGTTTTTGGAAGTTGTTGGAACCGTTGGGCGAGAACCTGAAGATCTAGGCCAATCTAGGCATCTTCGAATAATCCGATTGCACTTTCCACAGTGGTCAGTTACTTCCAATGAGTGCCGGTCTGGCATGGCTGTGAGTAGAAGTTGTCACAATGGCAAGCAGGGGTTTCAAGCAACCCAATAGCGGTTGGCCTCCAACCTAGTAGCTTCTTGTTATTAGATGTTATTAGTAGGAAGAAAGACGCAAACAAAAAATAGACCCATCAAAACCCGCTTCTGTGTGGGTCTGTGTGCGTGTGTGTTTGGAATGATGCAGTGCATGCTTCCCTTCATTGCCTTCACGCACGGTCTTGGTCTTGTCTCATTTCCTGGCTCTCGCATCTCTTTATTTGTCTTCCTCTTGCGCACGCATGTGTCACACTGTCCTATTTGAAAACCTTTGTGAGTCTATCCATGTCTATCCTGTCTATTCCGTTTCTAATCAGCAAGATATGCCAGGGAGCGTGCAAGTCTGGCACTGACAAAGACTGGCGGTCAGGAGCTCATTGTAATCTGACACCCTGTCCGACCCTGTCCCCAACTTGTTTTGCGTTTCCTTTTTCTGGGGAGGTGCCCCACCCTCCTTAGCTTGCACACCCTCTTTGCCTCTTCGTTTGCCCGATGTTTGGCTGTCTGGAGATGCTGAGCCAGTGGACCTCCTTTTGCATGAGAGGTTAGGACGCTACTAGGGGCTCCTGGCCGTACTAGGAGCAAGAGGACGCTACTAGTAACTGTTTTCTACAGTTGCAGGATGAGTCCAATCTGATGCAAGATCGGTAGTCTTCAATGGATTGTGGACCTGCCAGTGGGTGCTTCCGTATTGAGGGTTGGCAGTGGTGCGAACCACTAATGGCTAGAAAAGTGGCAACCAACCGCAGCTTCGTAACCACCCTGGAGTCATGGGTTCCTGCAGGAGGTTTCAATGCTTAGCAGGAGATCAGGTTTGACATTGTACATCTTTTCGTCACAGAACTGGCGCACCATAAGGAGCAATTGGTTGCAGTCTATCCGAATGTTTTTGTCACTAGCACGGGCATGAGTGGGAAGGGAAGCTTCCTCTGCTTGCTGGCGAAGCCCTTCTTCTAGTGGGTACACGACATTAGACCAGTAACATGTGCTTAGCACTTTGCTTTTGTCTGTGCAGTACCGTGCATCATGATTGCGCAGTGCTTCATGGTTGGAGGCCATCGCTAGTAGGTTGGAGGCCATCGCTATTGCAGTCGTTGTGATGCTGTCTCCGAAGAGTTCGGCTAGGAAACGCAATTGCCTATTTGTTCGTACTTGGACAAATAAAGCATGTCAGAATTTCTTGCGTAAGTGCAGGCCACTGCATGTTCCAAATCGGAAAAGACTTGGATTGCGTGTGCTGAGGGCAGTACATTCACTGCCTCTCAAGCAGCCCTGGGGCTTCCAGTACCATGCACAGGGATTGCACCTTGGTGAGAACTTAGATGGCCGCAAGTGCTGCAAGTCAAGATTAGCATCAACTCTGCGACTGTTTCTCTTGGAGAAGACTCTCCAACCTAGAAGCAATGGCCTCCATCCCAATAGCCATGGCCTCCAACCTAATAGCGATGGCCTCAAATAGAATAGAAGGTGCATGTTTAAGAGAACGTGTCTCCTTAAGTTGAACGCAAAAGTGCTCTGCTCCATCCGCTAGAAGGCCTTGGGTCTTGGCCTGTAGATACCAGAAAAGAAACAAAGTGTCCGAAATCTAGATATTAGGAGGCCATCGCTAGTAGTATGGAGGCCATCGCTATTAGGAACAAGAAGCTGCTAGGGGCTCCTGGCCTTACTGCTAGGAGCAAGAACGCTACTAGGGGCTCCTGGCATCGCTACTAGGAGGAAGCTAGTAACAAGAAGGTCATTGTTAATATTCGCCGTCTTTTGTCTGCACCCAATTTCCGTTTTTCTGCATCTCGCACTCACTTCCATGACGTCGTGAGCCGGGCGTCTCGGCACCTTCGCCATGAGCCATGAGAAGCAATGAAACGTGTTCAGAATTGTTGCAGTTCTTTATGCCTTTGGTTTGTTACAATGAGTTGTGCTCATCGTTTGTCTAAGCTGCCTCAAACGCAAAGCTCCGCTTGCATGAAAGCTCTCGTCTTGTCGCCTCCTCCATCTTTTCATTGATAATTTCCTTTCTTTAGCTTTTCTCTAGGTTGGAGGCCATCGGAAGTAGGAGCAAGAAGCTACTAGGGGCTCCTGGCTTTACTACTAGGAGCAAGGACGCTACTAGGGACTCCTGGCATCGCTACTAGTAGCAAGAAGCTACTCGTCACCCATCAGCTCTCTCGTCACCTCTCAAAGGGGAGAGCTGGGAGAGAGATGCTTCAGAGGCCTGACGAGCAAAAGACTTTCGCTTCCTGACTTGCTCCCTTCGTTTATATTTTGGTTGTGCTTCCTTTTCTGCTTATTTGTATAGAAGACATTTAGCACCTTTTCATCCTTTGTCTCCTGTATCTTTCCCTGATCTTTTTTCTTAAAGAGAGCTTGAAACACAACAAAACACAAAAGAACAATACAATCCATGCACCATGTGCATTGAGCATCGGTGGGTTCGAAGTCGAAGACTGCAATGTGTTATAGTTTCCAAGAATGTATTGATTTCACATAGCTGACATAGCTCTTAGGTTGGAGGCCATTGCTAGTAGTAACAAGGGCATTACTACTAGTAGCTAGAAGTTACTAGTAACAAGAGCATCGCTAGTAGGTCGGAGGCCAATGCTAATTGATTTCACATAGCTTCGAAGAGAATGTGACGCAACCCATGAAAACCTTGTCGCTCTCGTCACCATCGTCCTTGACCGGACACACAAACGTGGACCAAAAGAATCACTCCGAAAAGAAGCCATTTGCTACTAGGAACAAGAAGCTAGTAGAAACAAGTGCCACGCTAGTAGTAACAGGTGCCTTACTAGTAGTAACAAGGACGCTACTAGGGGCTCCTGACATCGCTAGGAGCAAGGACGCTAGGAGCAAAGGGCATCGCTACCTTTTTGCTTATCTATGTGTGTTTGCCACAGGAAGTGTTGGCAACAACACTACGAAAACCATTTCGGATCACAAGGTCAACAACTACGTTCCATCGCGGACCCTAGTAGCGATACCCTTTGCTCCTAGTAGCGTCCTTGTTACTACTAGTAAGGCACTTGTTACTAGAAGCGATGCACTTGTTCCTAGTAGCGTCCTTGCTCCTAGTAGCGATGCACTTGTTCCTAGTAGCGTTGCAAGACCTTAGAAGACTTTCTGTCGAAATGCGATCTGAGGCCATGGCAATCCTCAAAGCTCGAGACGCCACTGGCAATTTCGGTGGCCTCACATGTAAGAACAAAGATCAGCTTTAAACCCCTATTTATTGTTCGTTTGACGCCACCGCTAGTAGGTTGGAGGCCATTGCTAGCTTGGAGGCAGTGGATCTCACTCGAACATCTGCCACCCAGCAAATCTCGAACTTCAGCTTTTGCAAGCGCACGGCGTGCCACAAGCTGCCAATCTGGGGTGCTGGCTGCGATGGCTCAACATCTGCGGTGGGTGCCTGTCACAAGTGTCGGTTTAGAAAACTGATAGAACCAAGGCGTCTTAGACAATCTGTTCCATAACTTATCATCTGATGTGGAAAATGTCCTTATGCCATCAGTTTTGCGCGAACCTTCCCAGCCTTCACACCCATCGCCGTATTGGAAATGAACATTCTTCCATAACACTCTCCACATCATGTCGGAACAGGAGACCAGCAAGCCACCCTCCAACTACCTAAGGCTTGTCTGTGGGAGCCCATTTCGGTAGATGTGATACAGGGCAAACTACCCCAGTTAACCCCAAGTGAAAGAATTGCAACACATCACGAAACACTGATGCGTTGGGGAGAAAGATTCTTGTTGCCTTGCAGGACCATTGGAAGGACTGGAGGAAAATGAGAAGTGCCAGCCTTCTCAACTTCTGCACCCAGCACCCGCCTGTGCACAGGAGAAGCCAACAAACTCTGTGACTTAGAACCAATACAAATGGGTTGAGCTTCATCTGTCCACTTTGCAGGGAGGCATCGCTATTAGGTTGGAGGCCATCGCTATTTGGTTAGAGGTTCACCTTGCACAAAATTCCACTCTCTTAAAGGCTTCACTCGCCCATCCACCTTGCCCAGCTGCTCAGCATCTCCTTTGCCAACGAAAGAACTCTTGCAGGGCAAAGCTGTATTTTGGTTGCTCTCTGGTTCATGTTGGGTTCAGACTTTTTTACCCTTTTCATCCTCATTCCTTCTCAGCTACCACTGCCTTCTCTCGGCCCTTCTCAACTGTTACTTTAGTGAAAAGCTACTGGCCTAGCAGTGTTTTTTCATCCGAACAGCTTTGATTCCCATCAAGTTGGTTCCAACTCAAATAGATCTGAAAAGAAGAAGTTTTATGTTTAACAGTAAAATATAGTACTTGTAAAAGTTCAATCAGTTAAGCAAATAGAACATCAATCAGAAATCCATGCTCGGAGCGCCACCCGAATCCATTCAATTGGACGATGCTACCCCATTTTTCACTGTGAGACTTTACCAAACGAATCAGAGACAAATCATAAGGAACTGCAAGTCTCCCTACGTTCGTCTTATAGTATAGCTACTAGGTAGCTAAGTCTATAATGGTGCCAACACACGACGCAAGGGGAGCTTCCTTGGAGAGCTCTTCGCGATTTTAATCGGTTCTGGGTTCCAGCTTTAGCATTCTTGTTACTAGTAGCTTCTTGCTCCTAGTAGCGATGCCAGGAGCCCCTAGTAGCGTCCTTGCTCCTAGTAGTAAGGCCAGGAGCCCCTAGTAGCTGCTCGTTACTAGTAAGAATGTGTTTGTCAGATATGTTTTCTTTGCAATGGACTATATTTCTCATTAGGTCCATGAAAGGCAAGCAAGCGACTCCTCTCAACAGTCTATGTCTTAATATATCCTTCATGATTGCATCATGCACATCAGCTGGTTGCAATTGTATATTGTATAGGTCATTACGGTAGCATATGCGTCAACTGGTTGCAAGTGTATAGGTTACCGTACAAAATGCCTAAAAATTGATATAAATCAGTCCCTCTGAAAAATGTACAATTTCTAGGGGGGCGAAGCAAATATCCAAATCGAATGATTATAGAAGGGCATAACTAATGAAGTTGTAAGAGGGTCCAAAATATAAGTGTCTCGATCATGCTTATTGCATAGTTTCTTGTACATAATCACTCCATTTTTGCGGCCCCTTGAAAAAGTACAATTTCAAGGGGTTCAAAAAATGGATCCAACATTGCTTGCAAGATGCAAGTATATAAGAAATAACTAAACAATGTTTAAAGGGTCCAACAATTGAGTGATTATAGATACTTCTTTTACCCTCTCTTTGAGAGCCACTGGTGCGGGCGGTCGTCGCGAAGCGACCTGAGGGGGAGCTTCCTTGAAAGAATAAACTTTATGGGGGCCTGAAACACCTTGTGTTTCTTTGTCTCTAAACATTCAATAATTCAAGTGTTTATACTCAATCATGATATTCAACTATCTAACAAGAGCACTTTTTACAAGAACTCTGAAAATATGCACTGAGATCTGTCCCACAAACAAGCCATGCAGACTCTCTGGGGACCCTCCCACAAAGCACAAATAGATACTTAAAAGCAATCTGTAAAGACTCTATGGAAACCCCCCTTGCTCGCCTAAGGCCTCTCAGGAATTGTTTATTTTGGATATCCTACCGGCTCTTGACTGCCGCCCTTTGGGTTTCGAACCTTGACCTATTGGTTTGTCAAAAGTCCTGTACACTATACAACTTACTGTTACCGGGCGCGCTTGAATTGCTGTTTCTCTTTTAACTACCAGCATGTCCTTAATTAATGTTAATTAGTTTCCTTGATTCTTTTTTCAAGCCTTATCATGCTAAATTGATTTGTTTCGGGCTGATTTACCTGCTCCTGTTGTGAATGGCACCAAACACTACCCTAGATATGTATTTACAAAGCTTTTGCCACCCAACAATCTTGAAATAGTTGCTCCTTTGTTTAATGCTACCTTTCCTTGATTCGTACATTCCACTCTATATTTAGCTCCACTATTGGTGTGCATCGTTTTTAGCCCCTTCATTTGTTGAATTGATTTGTATAGTCTAGTCATTCTTGTCTTCTCTATGTCCTTCTATGGTTCTCTACTGTTTACTTTTTTACATCATATCTTGCTGTGTTGTTCACAAGCTCTCCCTATTCTCAAGAGGTGTCTCTTTTTAACAAGCACATATCTATTAATCTATTTATCGAATGGATTGGATTCTGAGAAGCAAGAATACAAAGGAAAAAACAATAGAATGAGCCAGACGGAAGGCGAAAGACAAAAGGGTTGATTGCCCGCTATCATTGCAATATGCGTCAATGACGTATTCTTCTTTAGTTTCAGTTACCTTTTTGCTTAGACAGTGGCTCTTCCCTACTTGGATTAGTTGTGGCATAGATTTCTGAGGGAAGAACTTCCAAGGCTGCGATGGGTACAAAGGATTAGAATCCGAGCAACTGTTTGAAAAATATGAAGATTAGAATCCTCCTTGATGGAGGACACTGTGCTCATATGTATTCATATATTTGTACGGCAAAACTCTCATTGAGCATGAGCATGGTAAAAGAAAAGGATAATATGCATGTAGAATAGAGGAGAGATAGAGGAGGAACTTGGATAAGGTGGGATGTATTTCTATACGGTCAGAGTCTTGAATTCAGAACTGTACAAACGAGAACAGCATTGTATGAAAGAAGAGAGTTTTGGATAAGGCAGATTGTTTCTATGCAGGCTGTTGTTCCATGAAGGATGTCGTGCTTCTAGAAATGTGAAGGCACTCTTAAAGGAGATATCTTTTGAATATCCAACTGCAAGGAAAAGAGACCGCTATGAAGGAAGAAGGAAGAAAATAACGGATATCCTCCAAAATACCAACCCTCACACTTGTTTCATAAAAAAAAAAATTCATGTCCAGTTTGCACTTGCCTAGGTTATTGAATGCGCGATGCCTAGGCATGTGATTGATCACCGCAGCATTTGCGGCTGCAAAGCCCTGAAGAGTCCCAAGGGGGACGAAAGCTAGGCATTTAATACCTTGCTGCAGTCGTAGAAAAGCTGCGTTGGGCTTGAGCGACCTGTTCTAAAGTTGTGCTTTGCTAACTTGAGGCGCTCGCCATGTCAGATCTTCTGAGCCATGGGCTTTTAGCATCTGCTGGGGTGGCAGGTGCTAGTTCTGCTCAGTGCGGTTCAGGGATTGCGGCTTTTACCAATGATCTCACTGTTGCTCCAAGAGGCAGGGATTCACCAAGAACACCTGCCCCGTCTCGTTTCACAGCTGCTGGAAGAGAAAGAGCTCCAAGTCTGGAAGGATCAAGGAATGGAGTCGAAATGCTGTTGCTGGAGCAGAATCAGTTGCTAATGAAGCAGGTTGCTTTACTCCAGTCTCAGGTGCAGAGTTCGCAAGCTCGCTCTGAAGCAATGAGTGTCCAAGAAGTTGCGCAAAGCAAATTGTTCCAGTCTCACACTCAATTGCTTGAGGGAGTCGATCCAGCCCTGCAGAAAGTTTTTCTGGACTTTGAGAAAGAAGCTAAACACGTGTTTGAAGCCTGGGAAACGCAGAAGAAGTTGTTTGAGAAGTACTCCAAGTTGAATGAGGAAGGACGTTTGCACAATCATTTACAAGCCGAGGCTGATTACAAATGGCAGTGGACCAAGCTGTACTTAGCCAAGGCTCAACCAGTGTCCGATGACCAAGACATGGTGGAAGATGGCTACAATGTTGCAGAGGATTGGGCTCGTATGAGGCGCAGGCATGCTGAAGAATGCTTCGAGTTCATTTGCAAGCATCAGAAGCAGTGTGTTGCTTTGTATGAGCAAGAGGTTTCCTTGCCGGTTTTGCAGCAAAAGCTGACTGATCGTTTGGATGCCTGGTTTGCGGAGCAGGCGTTTGATGATTTGGAGGTACAGAGAGTTTTGAAACAAAGGGGTTGTCAGTTTGTGCAGTCCTTTGTTCGAGCCACTAGGCCCAAAATACAAACACGGATGGCCAAAGACAAAGAGCAGCAGCAAAAACGAGAGCAAGTGCTTTTAGAAGCAAAGAGCAAGTGGGAAGAGATGGACGTGAAGGATGTTTTGTCTCCAGCGTTGTTTGAACTCTTGGATGCAAAGCAAAAAAGGTCATGCAAAATCAAGGAAGATTCAGCCCTGGCGTTTCTGGTGAAGGACAATGAAGAGCTTTGCCGAAGACACAATGTGAAAATTGTCTCAGAAGCGGCCCGTTCTTCCAAAAGGGCACCTACTCCTAAGAAAGTCCCTGGGAAGATTAGAGGACGAAGCCAGCAGAGAGGTTCTAGCACTCCCCGTTCAATTCTGAAATCTGCAAGTCGTTCTCCATCGAAGCCAGCAAGATCGTCAAGTGGTGAGAGAACTTCGTCAAAGAGAGTCAGTTTTGAAGGGAAGAGTGGTGGCAAGGGCAAAGAGAAAGCGAAAGGCAAAGGCAAAGGCAAGGGCAAGCAGAAGCGAAAATAGCATATCGTAAAAGAGGCCGGTGTTACTGGCAAGACGCCGACTGCTGTAGCATTGATTTTTACAAGTTCTGTGTCGTGCAAACTTTCAGAGCTCGTTTTTATTCTTTGTTGCACAGGCAGGCTTACAAAGGAGTTCACAATTTAGTTCCTTCAGATGTGCTTTGTGTCCCAAAGTTTGTCCTCCTGCATGTTGCAAGAAGTGGCAAGTTCATTCCTACAAGGAAAGCTACCAATGTCAAAGACATTTTGTCGGGCTTGGATGCTTTGAAGCGGCAGTTGCTTCTTTGCAGAGTCTTTCAAGGAAATGCTGCGTGCGTGTCAAAATGTCGTTTGAAAAGCACGTGGCAGCCACCAGGCAGTGCAGGCGTTGACGCCTTCGTTCGGTTACTCTCTCATGAGCTGACCCAGTTTGAACCTAAGACCTTCAAATCCAATCAGTCTTGGTTTGACAGAAAAGCCAAGGCCTGGTTGCGACAACATGCGGATTTGGTTGCAGTTGTGGATTGCGACAAAGGGCTCGGAGATTGTTTAGTTCTTCGGTCATGGCTTGTTGAACAAGTTCAACTTCAATTGGCTCAGGGATATGTACAGTTGAGTCCGGTGGAGTTGCAAAAGAAAGTTGCTGAGCTAAAGTTCGGCGCTGATGCCATGGTGCAGTTTTTCTTTTCTTCTGGTGTGCTTTCTTTGGCTGAGCGGGATTTTCTACTCAGCAAGTTTCAAGTAAGTGCTGTTGGAATCTTCCGCATTTTAGTTAAGGTGCACAAGCAACCAGTTTCTTCCAGGCCAATTTGCAATGTACGTAACAGTTGGTATGGACCTTTTTCAACTTTTTTGGTGGAGCGTTTGGGGCCACTTATGCCTCAGTTGGACTCTGTCATTGTTTCTTCAGACCAACTTTTGCAGCAGCTGAAACCGCTTCGGTGTGATGCCGCTATGAGATTTGTCACGCTTGACATTGTTAACCTGTATCCTTCGGTGGATAGGAAGCATTTGATGTCTATTGTGGGCCCTTTTGTGAGGCAATCATTTAACCATTCAGCGTTGGGAGACTTCATTGTCAAAGCTTTGGAGTTGGTGCTGGAAGCTTGCGTTGTTTCTTTTCAAGGGCTTCTTTTTGAGGCGCAAGATGGCATTCCAACAGGTTTGTCAGTTGCTGGCATTCTCGCAAACATTTACTTATGGCACTTTGACCGATACATGTCACGAATGTGTGGCTGCGATTTGCAGATCCTCAGAAGGTACATTGATGATCTTTTGCTTCTGTGGGCTGGTGACGTGCAAAGTCTGGTTGAAAAGGCGGAAGGTTGGCATCCTTCGTTGAAGTTTCAGGTTTCTGGTGAAATGGAAGTTCCCTTTTTGGACTTTCACCTCAGCATTCTGCCCAATCGCCGTGTGCATTGGAAGCTGTTTGAGAAACCCCAGAACCTGTATCTTTATGTGCCGGCTTTTTCGAATCACCCTGCCAGTACTTTTGCAAGCCTGCAGTTAGGAGGAGCGATTAGATGTGAAAGGCGGAACCGCCTTTTTTCTGACTATGCTGCAAGCATTCGGTCTTTCAGACGTCGTTTGAAAGATAGGGGCTTTGACCTTGCTGGCTTTGATCGTTTGTTAGCTCGTTACAGAGCAAAGCGGATGAGAAGGCATGCTGCACCTGGTTTGGTACGGAAAGCCTTTTTGAAGCTGCCATACAACAAAGACATTTCTGCCAGTTGGGTTTCTCAAAAGCTCCGACAATTTGAGCCATTGCTGCGCCAAAGTGTTCCAGCATTGAAACTCACCACAAGCTGGAGCGTTGGGCGCAGCTTGTTCCAAAGTCGGTACAAGCAAGTTTGGAAATTTTTGGTCTAAGGGTTTGGCTGTGGGAGGGACCAAAAAATTTGTTCATGTCCAGTTTGCACTTGCCTAGGTTATTGAATGCGCGATGCCTAGGCATGTGATTGATCACCGCAGCATTTGCGGCTGCAAAGCCCTGAAGAGTCCCAAGGGGGACGAAAGCTAGGCATTTAATACCTTGCTGCAGTCGTAGAAAAGCTGCGTTGGGCTTGAGCGACCTGTTCTAAAGTTGTGCCTGGAAGATAGTTTCTTAAGGAACATTGTAAGACTTTGCACGTATCAAATGATCAAACGCAACATCCAAAGTGCCAAACAAAAGTACATGTCTAAAGAAAACATGTGAAAACAATGCCTTAAAGAAGTTCTAGCAGCTAGGAAATCAAATTTCTATTCAAAAAGTCCTAAAAATGAAAGAATGCATTTTAAAGGAGATCTAAAAAAAGAATCTGAAGGACAAAAGTTGTTTAAAAATGTCTTAAAAGGACTAAATGAACATCAGACGGTCAGAACGACGTCAAAAGAAAAGTATATCTGAAGAAAACGGTCATCCAAAGAAAAAGAAAAGTCATCCAGAATGTTTTTAGAAAAGAGCCTTTACACACAAAAAAGTCTAAAGAATCGAAAAGAGTCTTTACAAAAACAAGACCCGAAACAAATTGAAATAGAATTTTACAGTGCGGCGGGAAATGTGTCTGAATTTGATGACGCGGGCTTACGGGTTTACGCGGGCTTACAGGTTTGCTGGGTTTAGAGATGTTTACGATTTGCGGTGTGTAGTCCTTCTATCATGTCTTCGAAAGCGAAATCATGTGATGTTCTGGGAAGGCTGCCATCAAGAGGGCATCGTTTCTCATCTGTGTACAACAGCTTTAGCTATATATAAGTATCTCTGAGTGTCGTTTGTCTTTGTTATACGGCGTAATGGCCGACAACCCTTCAAAAGACTACAGACCGACGAGGTTGCAAAAAGAACGACCCCGACTATCGACGATCTTGAGGAACCATTGGCTTGAATGGACATGGGGGTGGAAATGGGATGTGAACATAGGCCTTGACACAATACTAGATGACCAGAGTAAAAGCAAAACTAATTGATCTTGGATTTTTTACGGGCCGAACCCTTGTTGCCATGGACCTCTCCTATGCCGCGCGCAGTCGGTAAACCGGTGTAAACCGGTGTAAATCGGTAAACCGGTGTCGTCAAATACCAGACGCGCGTGATGCCGCAATGGAATTTTAACAATGGCCAGATTTCTCCTGAACTTCCACCCGACCGTGCCGAAGATTACCAGGTATGATTTATGAGCTTCTTATATATTCTCCTTCATCTCCAAAGAAATACCTGTTTAAGCCCTCGTGGAGGCTAGTGGACTGTGACCCGTGTTCCGTCCTCCTGCGCGCTCTAGGCTGCAGTCCGTCTCTTGAGCCACGGCAAGCTGAGCTTCAAGCTAAAGAGCCAAGAGGAAAACAATGCGAACGAAAAAGTCAACAGAAAACGGTGGGGGTTCTTCAACTCAACAAGAAAACTACCAAAAGAATCGCCCTCAGCAGCTTTTAGTTGTTCACATGTGAAGCCTTTAGCAGCTTGGAGGCAATGCTTAGTTCACACCTTGGGGTGTTCGGGGGAAAACTCCAACATCCAAGGCAATCTGGGCTCTCAGTGGCTACACGAATAGGAAGACTGGCCTCACAAAGCCATGTGGACCTGACGTGAGGTCCAAGTTCCTCCAACAAAGGTCTAAAGAAAAGAAAAAAGACATAGATAACAAAAGACAGTTAAGAGCGATGGCCTCCCACCTAATAGCAATGGCCTCCAATCTAAGAGAGAAAGAAAGAAAACGTCTTTAACAACAGAAAGGTCAAAAGTCTTGAGGCTCTTGAGGTACAGATTTCTCAAGGCCAATGTACTTCTCCGCGTTTCACAGCAAACACGTTGAGGAGCGAGGCGCACCGTGTGTCTCAGCGGCATCTGGGCACAACTACACCAGTAAGCTGAATGGAAACATTGCCATTTTCTGTGTGCATCAAATGTAAGAAGGAATAAAGCGGAAGTGTTGAATTGGAGGCCATCACTATTAGGTTGTCGCTTCTAGGTTGGAGGCCACCAACTCCACTTGACTTGGAGTACTCCATGCTCGAGCAGCTCGAATGTCTGCAGGTTCGGGCGGTGCTGCCATCAAAAACAAACATCAAAAACTCATTTGCTTGTTTCTTCGACTGCAACTGCAGAACGCATCGTAATATTGCGTGAAAGCAAGAACAAACACAAAAATCACAACCATCTGATTGAGTCTGGCAAACTGTACGTACAACTCATTTGGTTTTCTTTTTTGCGCAGCAGGTGAGTCTAAGCCCGGGGCAGGACAAGGCTGCTTGAATGTTCGGCGCTCAACCCGGAAAGTTCCAAAGAGACACTCGACAAAAAGTCGCATGTTGAAATGTTCTCTGTGTACTCACTGACTAATATCTCAAGGACCTGCATGTTAAAGGCGTTTGTAAAACCTGCTCAAGAGACTGTGTTAACAAGCGGCTTTGCAAAAGTTGAATTTCCGGTTCAAAACCGCAGAAAGTTCCACTGATTAAGAGACTCTGGAATTTGGTTCCATACAAGTACTTCGGAATCAAATTGTTAGACCGTCGGACAGTCATGTGAGACAGCAAGACACCAAGATACCCTTGTAACAAGGCCCTTAAAGGAGTCTCTTGGGAGTCACTCTGGCGGAAGGGCTGTAGGGCAAATTGCGATAAACTAAATATTATGAGATATTGTGAGCATTGACAGAAGGGTCTTTCTTGGAAGTTGGGTTCTTGTGCAGCACCCGTGTGAAAGACCCTTGTGGACATTCTTGCAACACTCTTGTGAGATACTCTTGCCAAGTACTTCTTAAGTCTTGAGAAACAATCTTCTGAAAGGCACTCTTGTCACATGCTTGCAAAACATTTCTGGTTCCCAAACACTTTGGTAAAACAAGGTCTCGCAAACATGAGACATGCGCTGTGCAACACTCTTGCATGGCACTTGTGCGAAACATTCTTGTAAGATACTTTTGGGGGACACTCCCGTGAGAGACTCTCCCAACACTAAACTTGCACTACAAAGGCAAATGCATTTTCTACAAATGTGCAGCTGTAGCTTTTGAGACCAAGTGCACATGATATTCTTCCTGGCAAACTTTTTATTAACAAATCCTTGTGCTCGCACACCAAATTCCAGCCGAGCACATCAACATCTTCGCGCGCAATTCCAAACAAACACGCCCTGATATAAAGTAGAAATTTCCGGAAAGGAAGTCTTAAGTTTTGAGTATGTCTGGCTCGTAGAAAGAGGTATCTTTCAGCGCCGGTCCAACCTGACAATTGAACTTTTTCTGAATGGAATGTGGAACGTTTCACATGTTCACCTAGTGAAGCGGTGCAAAGCTGAAACAGACCATCTCACTCCCCACTCCATCCCATTCTACCTTTGTTTTTGCCAATACCAGGTTGACCAACCTTCCACCGCTGCAGTCAGGCCTCATCCTTGCAGCATTGTCCTAGCTTCGAATCTGTGCAGATTCTCTCACTCACTGCTTTCATCACTTTCTCTTGCTCAGCCTCGTTCCACCTGGCTCAAATTTGTCGTTGAAATTGCACTGCTCAATGAGCTAGCAGTTGTCTGAAGGTGTTCTCATAACTTTTTTGCATGTGTCTGAACAACATCACTTTTCCCTGAGCATCATACCGATGTCGCTTCCGCATAGCCTTTTCTTCCCACCACCAACTTGAAGCTCACCTCACCACAAACGCTATCGGCGCAGCACAGCCAAGGTGTAAACCGATTGCGAAATCCACATAGGGGGGGTAGAGGGCGCTACTAGGAGCAAAGGGCCTCGCTACTAGGGGCTCCTGGCCTTACTACTAGGAAGAAGGACGCTACTAGGGGCTCCTGGCATCGCTACTAGGAGCAAGGACGCTACTAGGGTGGAGGCCACGGCTAGCAGGGTGGAGGCAACAGGTGGTGGTTGAGGTCACGGCTATTTGCGAAATCGACTGCAAGTTTAGCACCCAAAGGAGGTCTCTAAAGTTGAGTGAAACGGAAGGGATTGCATTTGGATGGCAACTGAGGCATTCAATGAATGTTTTGGGCCTTACAGCTTGCTCTCGCTGAACCTGCCAAATCTGTTCCGTGCTGGATTCAGTCTTGGCCATTTGGGAGGGAAAATAGAATGCACTGCATTGAATGCTTGAACATTTTTGGCCACGTGGGTGTTCGCCATTCCACAATCGAGTTTCCACGGGTACCTGCCCATGACCTCGACTTCGCTGAGATTCAGGGCCGTTCCAGCTGCCTTGTAGTTTTCGTGCCTTTTGTGTAATTCTTGTCATTGTCCTTTATCTATTGTCTTTTCTCTGTATGTTCTCTGTATTGACCTTATTTTGTTGTTTTCCATGTTCTCCCCACTAGTGTGCTTGCGGCGAATGGGCTTCACTGGCCTTGCTTCAAACAAACACTGGCTGGCAGCAAGCCCTCAAGCCCAATGCTACCGGTCATTACCTGCTGCTTTCCTTTCTCCTATCCTTTCTTTCTTGCCCTTTCTGTTCCATGTCCTTTTTCTGTTTATGTTTTCTTTAGACCCTTTCGATCTTTCTCTTTTGTTTTCTTTCTCTCCTTTCGTTTTTCTCATCACTCTGTTCTTCTATTCTTCCCTTTCCTTTCCTTTCTGCTCTTTCTCACGCTCCGTCTTTGCGTCCTTTCTTCTCACGTCCAAAGCCGAGATCCCACACTTTGTCACCCTCACGGTCGCAACTTGCAGGTAGCCTGGAACTCCGAGGAAAAACACCAGCACTGGCAATCCTTTTTCAGCCAGGCACCGATTCAGGTCCACAAAGACATCTCGGCCAAATTCTGCTCGAGTTTCGGCACATCTCAGCAGAGACGATTGTTGAAAGAGAGCTGAAGCTTCCTTGAAGAACCGCTGGGGTGGAGCCATTGCTAGCAGGGTGGAGTGAAGCAACCTTGAAGAACCCTTCATTTGAATTCCATTTGGTTCTTGATTGAAGCCTTGCCATCTGGAAATTTCATTCCATGCAACTTTGTCTCAGGAGGGTGCGAGATGAAGCCAAATCCAGAGCCTTTGTTCACCATTCTCATCGTACCATAGAACCTGTGAAGCACTGCAAAGCCCTGGCAAAGTACTTGACGCTGTTTGAGCAAAATTCCAAAGCTTCACGCTGCCTTCGATCAGCGAAATCATCAGGTAGCTTTTTGTACTTTTTGTCACCTTAGAGACTGAAGAAGCTGACACCTCTGCATTATAGATGACAAACTGTTCATCCAGCCCACTAACAGGCAAGTAGTTTCCTACGAAGTGTCTTTTGAACAAATGTACTCAATGCGGATGGCTTTGGGACCTTTTGCTTCAGCCTTGAACACAAATGCCATCAAACATAGGCACCGCCTTTAGATTCGAAAGGTAGTGCCTTTGCGTCGTTCAGTGCAAAAGCCCTCTTCCTGGACTGGGCTTCCAAACGTGAGCGTGAGCGACCCCTAGCAACAGGCACAGCTCAGCTGATGCAAACGCTACAAGTCAATGAGCAGCTAGCTTGGTCAGGAAAGATCAAAGAGGAAGTTGGGACAGGCTCCGGTTTCTTGCTGTTGAAGCAAGTACCGCCCAATAACCAAATCGAGATAACAGGCTTACCACATCTTCAGTAAACATCTCACTGACCTGACACCGGCACCAAAGAATCACTCCAAGTCACTGCCTCTCTGCCTCTATCATCTCTTCCTCTTCCTTCCTCCTCTTCCTCTTCCTCTTCCTCTTCCTCTTCCTTCCTCCTCTTCCTCTTCCTTCCTCCTCTTCCTCTTCCTCTTCCTCTTCCTCTTCCTCTTCCTCTTCCTCTTCCTCTTCCTCTTCCCCTTCCCCTTCCTCTTCCTCTTCCTCTTCCTCTTCCTCTTCCTCTTCCTCTTCCTCTTCTTCTTCTTCTTCTTCTTCTTCTTCTTCTTCTTCTTCTTCTTC